GTGAAATGGAAAATGTCTTTGTCCAAAGTAGTGATGTTAAAAAACAGACAGTGCTTCAGCTGGTTTCTAGTGGGGATGTAAAATACCAGGTAAAAAGTTAACCGGTTAAACAGAATGTTGAACATTCCAGTTAACTGGGATCCCACGGACAGAGACCACAGTGAGGCCAGCTGGGCTGGAGTGCCTCCCCACCCACTGTGTAGCATGGGGAGCACAGCCACCCCTGCCTGTGTCGGTGCCACCAGTTATCCATTAATACCCCTGATTCCTAGACCATTTGTGGCACAGCCCTCTATCTGAGAAGCAAACAACACTAGGAAGTTAGACACGTGCAGAAGCCATCTCTTACCCGGCACTGAGGAAGGAATCTTAAAAACAACATATTTTGTCTTCCCCTTGTCAACTATGGAGGTGCCCATATTGAGAACATTACCAGCACTGTCATAATGGGGATGAGACGTCGCCAGGTTCACTGCTACATATTTATTGTAGTCAACCTAACAAAGTGACAGAAGGGCATTAAGGATATATAAAGAGTATGTGAAATTAGTTGCTGATTATAGCTTTCCTCACAAAAACTACCACCACATTTGGCATCAGTGGCCTTCCTATTGGCAACCGCTGCACATGGAGGCCAAAGACTCAGGCCCTATTTCAGGAAATCCTCCCAATGCAGGGAACAACTTACTTAACTTTCAAGTCTTGAGGTTTACATTAAACTCAGCGGGACTTAAGCATGTGCTTGAATGATTCCCTTATTCAGGGCTTGAATGGATCACGGAAAAGGAGCTTTGGATACTAAGGGTTACCTCTGGGGTGAGGCACATGGGAAGAAAGTTTGTGTAAGCAAAGGTAACTGCTCTTGTACGGTCCTTACCAAATGGATTTCGCATAGCACGTCTGTTAAACCAGCAGTTTTCATGAGCAAAATGATTTCCAAGTTATTTAAACTGATAAACTGTATTACAGCAAGGGATAGAGACTAGGAGGTTATACATAGTAGAAAAGGTTAACTACAAACTACATCTTAATGCATCTAAACTAACTGTTTTAGAATATTAAAGAAATGTCTTTCATAAGGAAATTCAAAGGAAGTTGTGATATAACTGGCCTAGAGAACTAATTACACATTATATAAATTGTTGTGTAATAGGGATAGTTACTGGAATCGTTAATCAAAGGGAATAATCCAAAATAATCAGATGCAATAAGCACGAGACCTGACATTATGCCTACAACCTAGTAGGTTGATGTACAAGTTAAAACAGCAAAAGCCAGTACTTACCCTAAAAGACCAGGGAATTTTGTGGTTTGAAAGAAATGAAGAATAAAATATTGTAAGTTAAAATAACACATTATAAATTGCTAGAAGAGCTGGCATCTATAGCAACTACCCATGACTCTGAAATGGCCCACGCTGACACAAAGGAAGCAGTGGATGAAAAAACATTTTATTTTTCCACATTGGCCTCTTTTAACATGACACTGTAGGCTGTAAAGCTCAGCAGGATTCTGTATTAATTAGGAGATAAAACGTCCGTGTTGGATCCCACGTTTTACCTTCTCTAATGTCTCCAGAGTGTGAGGATTAATTTTCCTAATGAAGTTAGTCTCACTTGTAGCATAATAATCTTCACCAGTTTTCATAATATTGATCAGGCAGTTGTCTGTAAACTCAGGAATAGTGTGGGACAAATAGCAGAATGCCCTGCGGGGACAAAAAAGGTTATATATATAGATCTATATCATTGAGAAGATCAGCTCTTTTATAGTTGCTTTCATTCTCAAATGGGACTGAAATGATCATGGCTGTTTGTTACTTGTTTGTTGTTATCCTCCTTTTGCATTGCTCACAGAACTGAAAGTTGTGCTTGCTTTTGGAGAGCAGGATGTGTTTTGACCTGTATGCAGTACAATCATTGGAAGTGGATTTATTATTTAATTTGTACTCTCTCCACTGGCTGGTCTTATAGCAACACACACAACATGTTTTTGGCCAAATTTTCAACCTCTCTTAATACAATCTGGAAGCATGAATCCACACAACTGCTACTCTGGCATGCACAAATATTCATCTAATTCATCTAATTGCTGTCCAATCCTGCTCTGACTGGAGTCAATGGCAAAACAACCACTGATTTGAGTACACACTTGTGTGCATATTTCTGCCTGCAGTGAGAGGTCACATTTTCAAAGTCTGGCCCAAAGCCTGGTCATAGACACTGAACTTTTTCAATAGGCTTTGGTAAGAACATGGTGGATTAATATTCTCTATGACAATACATTTTTTTATTTCCAATAATATTCACTATCATATTACAATGCTTTAGGCATAAACTGTTTGACAGTTTTATGTAATTACTTGCTTGAAGAAATCAAAGGATTTGTGGGAGCACTGCCAGTAACAATTCCAAAGTTAAATCCTGTCCGTGTGCACTGGATTTTTTACTTACAGTGCTCCCATAATCTAAGGATTTATGGGAGCACTGCCAGTAATAATTCCAAAGTTAAATCCTGTCCGTGTGCACTGGATTTTTTACTTACAGTGCTCCCATAAATCCTTAGATTAAAAAAAAAATTATATAGAGACTGGGAGTCAGTTTCCTGGGCACTGCCAATGAGGAGTCAATTTTAAACTTACATCCAAACATTGGGGCTTATTCTGTACGTATAGTGGGTGAACAGAAAAGCAGTCGGTTCAGAGAAATAAAAAGGAGAATGTTGTTGAAAAAACACTTACTTGGCAAATAGGTTTTTGCATGGATCTGGATAAGCCATAGTCCCAAACTCTGACACCACAATTCTGTTTGCTTCTATATTGCAATTGTAGGTGTCACTGCAGAGGTATTTACTTCTGTAGTAAACTTCACCTGACAAGGGCAAACAAAATCTTTGTATTACATGCATACTAAGAGGATATTTATTTTCCTTAGAAGATTAATATAGAACATCTGTCAGATAAAGACATTAAAGTAGAACCTCATCTGATGGGTCTCCAGTTAAGCAGACTATGAGTTGCTTTCAGCTCCTAGTTTTTCAGAGGTGTTTTAGGTCTCTGAAAAATGTAGGGGAATTTATGGGACTGTGCTGTACTTTATTCCTACTGTTGTTACTTCCAGGCTCTGATAGCCCAAATTTTGTCACATCCACTTTCTTTGGTTCAAAAAACATTTATGCAATGGGGTGTTGAAAAGAAGGTTTTAAACTAATCATGCCAAAAGTCCAGCGCTCGAAAGCAACCTTGTCTACATGAGCACATGATAGAGGAAGAACATAAGAACGGCCATACTGGCTCAGACCAAAGGTCCATCTAGCCCAGTATCCTGTCTTCCGACAGTGGCCAATGCTTGATGCCCCAGAACAGAACAAGGAATCATCAAGTGACCCTTCTCCTGTCATCCGTTTCCAGCCCCTGACAAACAGAGGCTAGGGACACAATTCCTACCCATCCTGGTTAACAAGTATTGATCAACCTAACCTCCATGAATTTATCTAGTTCTTTTTGAACCCTGTTAGAGTCCTGGTCTTCACAACATCCTCTGAAAAGGAGTTCCACAGGTTTACTGTATAAGAAAAATTTCCTTTTGTTTGTTTTAAACCTGCTACCTATTAATTTCATTTGGTAACCCCTAGTTCTTATGTTATGGGAACAAGTAAATAACTTTTCCTTATTCAATTTCTCCATACCTGTCATGATTTTATAGACATCTATGATATCACCTCTTAGTCTTCTCTTTTCTAAGCTGAAAAGTCCCAGTCTTTTTAATTTCTATTCATATTGGACCCATTCCAAACCCTTAATCATTTTTGTTGTCCTTTTCTGAACCTTTTCCAATGCCAATATATCTTTTTTGAGATGAGGCGACCACAACTGTACTCAGTATTCAAGATGTGGGCGTACCATGGATTTATATAGAAGCAATAAGATATTCTCTGTCTTATTCTCCATCCCTTTTTTAATGATTCGTAACATTCTGTTTTCTTTTTTGACTGCTGCTGCACATTGAGTGGATTTTTTTCAAAGAACTATCCACAATGACTACAAGATCTCTCTCGAGTGGTTATAGCTACATTAGGGCCCATAATTATGTATGTATAGTTGGGATTATTTTTTCCAATGTGCATTATTTTGCATTTATCAACATTAAAATTCATTTGCCATTTTGTTGCCCAGTCACCTAGTTTTGTGAGATCCTTTTGAAGCTCTTCACAGTCTGCTTTGTTCTTAACTATCTTGAGCAGTTTAGTATCATCTGCAAATTTTGCTACCTCACTGTTTACCCCTTTCTCTAGATCATTTATAAATAGGTTAAATAGGATTGGTCCCAGTATGGACCCTTGGGGGACACCACTACAGGCAGTCCCAGGGTTACGTACAAGATAGGGACTGTAGGTTTGTTCTTAAGTTGAATTTGTATGTAAGTCGGAACTGGTACATATTGTAGGGGAAACTCTAGCCAAACATTTCTCCAGAGCTCAATTTTATTCTCCCACACCTCACTTCCCTCAGTCCTTTATTCTCAAGCTGAGGTGTCTGCTGAGAAAAGCCGCTCCGCGTCTCCCTGGTCTGCTGGGGGGAAGCAGCTAGTGCGGGGTTGCCTCACCCCGTTTGTAAGTAGGGATCCGATGTAAGGCGGATCCATGTAACCCGGGGACTGCCTGTAGTTACCTCTCTCCATTCTGAAAACTGACCATTTATTCCTATGCGTTGTTTCTTGTCTTTTAACCAGTTATCAGTCCAGGAGAGCACTTTCCTGCTTATTCCATGATAACTAACTTTACTTAAGAGCCTTTGGTGTGGGACCTTGTCAAAGGCATTCTGGAAATCTAAGTACACTATATCCACTGTATTTCCCTTTCCACATGCTTGGCGACCCCCTCAAGGAACTCTAGTAGATTAATAAGACACAATTTTCCTTTACCAAATCAATGTTGACTTTTCCCCAACAAATTATGTTCATCTATGCATCTGACAATTCTATTCCCAACAATTGTTTCAAGAGCCCTTTTTAAATATTAGTGTTACATTAACTATCTTCCAGTCTTTAGGTACAGAAGCTGATTTAAAGGATAGGTTACAAACCACAATTAATCATTCTGCAATTTCACATTTGAGTTCTTTCAGAACTCTTGGGTGACCTCTGTCTGGTCCTGGCTACTTGTTACTGTATAGTTTATCAATTTGTTCCAAAACCTCTCTTAATGAGACCTCAGCCTGGGACAGTTCCTCAGATTTCTCACCTAAAAAGAATGGCTCAGGTTTGGGAATGTCCCTCACCTCCTCAACTGTGAAAACTGATGCAAAGATTTCATTTAGTTTATCATCTTTGCGTGTGTCTAGACTACAGGGTTTTGTTGACAAAAGTGGACTTTTGTCAACAAAACTATACCTGCGTCTACACTACTGCTGAGTTCTAAACTCAGCAGTTTTGTCGAGGGCGGTAAACCTCATTCTACGAGGAATAACGCCTTTTGTCGACAGAGTTCTGTTGACAGAAGGTGTTATTGCATCTACACTGTCCTTTGCGTCTACACTGTCATGTCGACAAAGCGGCTTGCTTTGTCGACAGAATTGAATGTAGTCTAGACGCTCTTTGTTGACAGAAGCTTTGTTGACAGTATCTGTCGACAAAACTTCTGTCGACAAAAGCCTGCAGTCTAGACGTACCCTTTGAGTGCACCGTTAGCATCTTGATCATCCAATGGCCCCACTGGTTGTTTAGCAGACTTCCTGCTTCTGATGTACTTAAAAACATTTTGCTATTACTTTTTGAGTAATAGGAAAATTACTTACTGAAAATAATAAATTGTGAATTTTAGGTTTCTAAGGAACTGACAGAACAAACATTGAGGGAGTTCTAAAATTATGAAAAAGAATATAACTGTTTCCTTTTTAAAAATCCCACTTTATTAAATTGGATCATTTGAACTTTTAGAGGCAGTGTAGTTAAATACACAATGATACTGTCACTAAAGCAGCCCGCTGGAAGAATCTTTAATTTCTCAGATTAAAGAGTGAGAAGATCCCTATTAGGTCATCTAACCCACCCTTAGTCCAGTATAAGCCTTTGTTACGTTCCTATAAACCTCCTCTCTAGAACTAGAAATGCTTGCAGGCAGCTATTTATAGGCATTTGTATGATACTCATCCCAGGTGTCTCAAGCTCCTGGCCTGGGGGCCATCTATGGTCTGAGCACTCCCTCAATCAGGCCTGTGAAATATTTTGAAGAAGTTATTTAATCAGGCCTGTATGGCTGCTGGCCTGGGGAGGAGGGTGGTGGAAAGCAAGAGGCATATGGGGGACTCATCTGGGTGCACAGCTGCTAGCAGCATGCAGGCCCCCAGTGCCCATGTAGTCCCAGCCACAAAGGGCGCCACTCAGTCCAGGAAGCTGCGCTGGCCGCCTTGACCACGATGCGAGCTGAGCTGGCCAGGGAGCCACCTGAGCTGACATGTTTCTGAAGCCAGTGGGGCAGGGCTGGTGGGCTTCACTTTCACTTTCACAAGGACGTGGCTGGAGCTTTCCAGAAAAAAAAAAAAAAGAGCTCCAATTGTCAGGAGGCTCATGATCAAAACAGGAGGGTTGGCATCACTGGTACTTAGTCAGTTTCACAAAATGAGTGAATAGTTTCACAGCTTACACCTATGCACGAGAAGTCTCTGCACACCCCTCCCCCTGGGCCACAGGGATGGGCTGGCAGCATGGAGCTAGCAGCCAGAAGCCACTCTAGTTCCGGTGGCAGCAGCAAGGGCCCTGATGGGTGGCAGGTGGAACCGGGAGACGTGTGGGATGGAGAAGCATGCAGGCCAGCAGGCAGGGCTGGGAGACGTGTGGGGGTGGGGGAGAAGCACAGTGCACTCTTCAGGAGCCCTACCAGAGGGGGTGCCCACTGGCCCACTAGGAGGATTTGAGGACTCGCTCTGGCCCTACGGTAAATTGCGTTTGAGACCTCTGCTCATCACTAACGTATCTGAACATCTCTCCAACAGTTAATGATGCCTTGAAGCACTCTTGTGAAGTAGAGAATTATTATACATGAGACACTCTTGCAGAGAAGTGAAGTGACTTGCCAATCATCACATAAGAAGAGTGGTGAAAGTAACTGACTGGTACTGTCCTATTGCAACCCAGGTCCCTGCCAGCTTTTTAAATAGCTCTCTGCTGGCTTTTGCCACAGCTCAGCCAGCTCTTGTTGGAGCCGCAAACCTTGGTGCACCTACTTACCTTCACCTCTGCATAAGAAGTCTGGGGAGAGCCATATTGCATCCACAACTCTTATTTCTAGCCTTTAATCACTTGTCCATGGTTCCTCGATCAGGAGAATAGTATATTTCCTGACATAATGGGAGGAGAGTGCAGTGGATTTTCCTGGCAAATTTCAGTCTTCACTGTAAAAAGGCAGAACTCTTCCAGGTGGGAAGGAATGCCTCTATAGCCCTTCAGACAGATGGTCTAGTGTGCTGAACAAATGGAGCTCCCTCTCCTTTAGGTGAGGCAATAAACTGTCTGTTGCATTATCCGGCCATTTCTGCTTCTGACTGCATTCTTAAAAGGCACCGAACTGAGCAGGCAAACAGGAAACGTGTTTCTGGACTCTCATAAATCATCCCAACAAAGCAATTGAAAATAAAAAAGCAAATAGGGATTAAGCAGAATCTCCAATTCTCCTCCAGACCTTGTATGTTGCGCAGCCAATAAGCACAAGAAAAAACAGTCCCCACTGTGTTCTAAAGCAGATTCAATAATATTTTATCTCCATGTTTTATAGAAAAGTTGAGATTACAAGGAGATCGATATATTGCTTTCAATCATTTCCAGCACCTTGCCTGAAGATGGCAAGTAGGATTTGGACAGTCATCTAAATATTTATAAGTGCAGTAAATATACCTAAGATCTAATCTGCAAGCTAAGTGGAACACCGGCCTAGTTTCACTCTTGGCTGCTGTCATAACTAGCTTCAGATCCTAAAAAGAGTGCTCAGCCCATAATGCAAGTAGGCTGTTTGCCCATATGAAATAACCCTCTGTACATTATGTAACTATTAGCTGATTCCATCTGGAAGAAGCTGCTACATGATTCCAAATAGCTGCAGAATGGAAATTGGAAATGGAAATGCAACTTCTATTGTGAGCTGCATTTCTTAATGGTTTAATATCGACTCAAAACCATGGTTTCTAGACTAGTCATTCAGAAATCCTGCCCTAGGATGAAATCTTGATCTCACTGAAATTGATCGGAAATTTGTCATTAGCTTCAGTGGAGCCAGCATTTCACCCTGGTGTAAATGTTTATGCATAGTACACATAGCACAAGCCTGTGAGTCTCAGATTTTTCAACTCCTCAGGAAGGGTTGAAAGACCTGGCGCTTTAATGGCTATTAATTTCCTTAAGGGAAACATACTTGACAATTTTTGAAATATTTCAATTAGTTATGATGAGCTAGGTTTTTCTCTGCAATTAGGGCAGGGTTATCTCATGCCACTAGCATAAAGCTGACCTCAAGTGAGTGTAGCTGACCCCTAGAAGGGTCACCCCAATAGAATGGGGGAATCATCTTGTTCTAAAGCAGTTCCTACGTACCCTGTTCCAAGCAGCCAGAGAAGGGGTGTAGCTGGAAGAACAGGGCATGGCTGAGAGTTCCAGCTGCCCAGAAAGCTTCTGAGGTCAATGGCAGAGGGTGCAAATTAAAGCAGCTTTTAAAGAGACTGGTCCAACACAGAAGCCCCAGGATCAAAGAAATATGCAGAGCTGACTTTAAGCACCCCTCATATTCCCCTTCTAAAGTGAGCATAGCATTTCCACCTCAGAGAAGGAAAATTGCACTGAGAGGGTAAAGACCACCAGATGTTCTCTCTTACCACCATTGGCAGCTGTGTTTAAGACTGCATTGAATGTGCTGCCAGTCATTTGATGTTCACTAGCTACACAAACCTTATCAGTCTGGTTTTTTTGCAGGATCCCTAATCAACCATTCATCTGACAGGACCTTTAGCTAAACATGTAAAACAATTCAATATGAGTATTATAAGCCAATTCCACCCACATTTATAACACCTTATGCTTCTGTTTAGAGACCAAGACTTGTATAATACAGCAGCCTACCATTTTTAAATGTAAAACTGTGCATCAGAGCCAAGCCATCAAACCAATGGTTATATTGGGTTTCTCCCACTGTATGCATGCCTGGGCCATTGCGAAGAAGAATCCCCTGCAGCCAGCTTGGTAGCTCACCTATAAAGAAAAAGGACACGGTTTATTTCCACTCCAAGTCAAAGATGACCTTGTGTGCTACAGGCAAATTTCCAACAGGTAAGTAGGTACATAGATGATGCAAGTCAGGATTTTACAGTTGCTCATTTCATTTAGGTATGCCTAACAATGCAGCCCTAATTATATGCAAAACTTAAAACATGGAATTATCTGAACATAATTTACTAATTAGAAGAGATTGATTAGGGAGGAGCATTTTCTTCATGCACTTTCATTTTATAATTATCCATCTAGCCCATTTGTTATTACCAGCAGAAATTAGGATTTACCAGAAATACATTTATAATCAAATGCCTTGTAGTGGCCAAGATGCCACTGTAAACTGAAGGCTGGTAGAATTCCAGTAACAATCCCACTGATGAAATTACATAGCATCATGAAGTGTCACAATGTCAGTGCATTAGAACACCAATAATGTACATTTTGAGAGTATAAAAAAGATTAGAAATATTATATTGATAATATGTAAGTGTAGGGATTTGATAATTTGACTTGTGAGGAACAAGAAATCATCTAAGTTATTACATGCTATTCACACACAAAAATCTTTGCTAAAGAAGCATTATTAAGGTTGCAAGGTCAATCATTCACAAGTTAGGAAATGCCAGAATCAAGCTTGCCTGCACAACTTTATTCAACTTTCTCTGTCACATGTGTGTGCTATAGTCTTTAATGACTTTATCACATTCTATTTTTTTCCACAAGACCCCTGCCTCACTCAGTGCACAAAATGGAGAGCTTCTCATTGAAAGCCATCCAATGTTTTGTTCAATAGATGGCCTACGTACATACTACTCAGACCCTGCTAGGAAGACAAAGTTATAAACACAGCTGATCAGAATGCTTTCAATGAAATACTTGTCAAAATATCTGGTTCCATCTGGTTGCCGGAATGTACTGATGTTGACAGGAGTTCTCTGTGGAAGTGACTGGAGGGAGCATCCTGGGCCTCAGAGAAGTGTTCTTGATCTTTTCTATTAAAAATGGCTGTTTGAACACAGTTCTGGTTTGTGAAAGTGGCTGAAAGGTTCTGGTTTAGTTCCAGTGCAGAATGAAAACAAATTGTGAAATCCTGAAAGCTGTCTCGAAACTGACTGGCAATCTTCCAGTCGGATCTAATTATTCGTTGCCTCATAGGTTTTCTCTGACACATATTGCTCTAGTATCTGACTGCTTCATAAACACCAATTAATGTATTTTAATAACGCCTCTTTGAGATGAGGTATTATTATCCCATTTTACAGATGAGAAACTAAGGCACAGAGATTAAGGTCAAAACTATCCTCCAAAGTTGGGTGCCCAAATTTAAAATACCTATGCCCTGATTTTTCAAAATACTTATATTATATAGCACTTTATGTTAAAAGTCCTATTGACTTCAATTGCAGCTGGGAATGCTTCATATTTGCGCAGATCAGAAGTGCCCATGACAGGCACCCAGAAAATGAGGAACACACAGTTAGTGGCCACTTGTGAAGAGTTTGGTTTAAGAGACTTGTCCAGCACCACACCAGAACTCCAAAGAAGAGACAGAATAGAATGCAGGGCAGCAGCCAGTAGCCTTAGCCAGGAACCCATCCTTTCTCTTCCTGCAATCCCCTGCCTCCGTTGCTTCACACCTTCCAACAAGTGAAGCAGGGGTACTAGAGACACCAACCAGCCCTGCTGTGCCCTCAGAACAGGTCTATCCTTGAGTGAAGCTGTACAGGAGCCTGGTGTGTAAAAACGTCACTTCAGTAATTCTTTGTAGTTTAAGAAGGATTTGTTACTGACAAGCTCTAAAGTTGCTCTGTCTTGGCCTTGCTGCAAAGAAGGTGACCCTTCACCTAATTAAGTCATGAACAGCTGGTTCCTTAATTTTTGCTTGTGAAAAGGGCACATGGCAGTTGAAAAGGGACCTCTAAGAGTATTTTAGGAATGGCTGAGCGGGAACACAAGGGGGTGAGAAGCAATGGCAGTCATCACTAGGTCATAAGTCACATATATGAACGTGCCAAGGCCTTAACAAATTCAGGGCCATCTGCACTTCTGTTATCGTCACAGGAGAACTAGGACACTTCCCTGAAGCGATTTCCTGTTTATGCCGTGCTTTTTTGGAGTGGAGACCTTTGCTTTCCCTATGCTAGCTTTATGGAAGAGGAGGTCGCACCATCACGGCCTATGCTAGCCTGATAGCCACATACCCAGAAGAAGCCCACGAGGTGCCAATCAGAGATAATATCATCAGTTCCCTGCAACTGCAGCTGTGATGCCCTGAAGGCCATGCAAGCCAAGGAGCGAATCTTTTTATTTTAAGTCAATTTCTTCTCTCTTTTCCCCGTACCCTATTTTGTTATTGCACTGAGACACTCCGCCTCCCCTGCATTACTGATTTTTAGACCCTTGCATGGATATAAAATTTATATCCACATCCACCTCTGTACCCACAAATTGAGCTATGGATACCTGCATTCCTATCCATGGATATACTTGTGGATATAAAGCGGATATCTGCAAATTTGCAGGGTTCTAGCTACAAACATTTGTATCAGCATCCATATCTGCAAAAATGAGCCACGGATATCTGCATCTACATTTGCGGATGCATGTACCCATGGATATAAAGTGGATATCCACAGATTTGAAGGGCTCTACTGATTTTTCTCTAACCCTTTTAAAGCACGTGTGGCATGTGTATACTTGTCAGGGATGATCTAGACAGTGCTTGGTCCTGCCATGGGGGCAGCAGACTGGACTCGCTGACCTCTTGAGGTCCCTTTCAGTTCTATGATTCTGTGATAAACAAAAGTGTAAGTAACAGTACTTGCCATTAATACTTTCCCAACTGGTATGCTAAGTGAGTCCTCCCTTAAACCACTTTCTGTTACCTGCGTGGTGTCTGTATGGACCACTTTGCCCTAAGAAGGGAATGGAAAGTTGCAGATCTTTGATGTATTGAAAATTAGCCTGGAACTGAGCAAAAGGAGGATCTACATGGCCTGAGATAGGGTTTTAATTCATGAAAGGGGTGATGTCCATGAAAGGGGACCAGTCATTCCCTTCATCCTAAACTAGCCCATGAGTGCTGAGAGACTCTGAAGGGGAAGGGAAAGTGTTTCCCTCCCACGTTGAGCTGGGACCAGTCCAATTGCTGCTGCCAACATCAAATTTCCCCACCTATTGATGCAGCACTTCAAGAGCTGAGACGGAAAAACCTCCATAAATCTCTAGCATTTACAATTTGAAAGAACTGAGCATGCGCTGTATTCATTTCATGATTTGATTACTGCTGATACAATCAATTGGTGATTCCATTCCACATCATTTTAAGGTGCTTCAGTTCTAACTGTGACTTTGATTTGATCACTTGTATTATGTGGTCTGTCTTAGTTTAGTAAAAGTTTAGGTAATTATCCATAGTGAGAAGTTAATAGACTTTAAAGTTTAATAATTTGCAATAAAACCCATAAGGAGTGTGTGGGGGGGGGAGGGGGGGTTATTCCCTTGAGTGTTGCAACAAGGACCAAATAATCCAAAGGGCAAAAGTAATTTAGTAGAGTATTTAAGAGCCATTTGGCTCTATTTCCAGATAAATATCGATCTTCCTCATTCACAAATTAAAGAACGCCATAATATAAGGAGTCCAAATTACAATAGTAAACGAACAAACAATACAGCTATTCCCTCATGTGATATATATTGTGACACCCGAGTGACAGATCATCATGAGGGATGGAACCTTCAGAGGCACCACTCAGACTTTTACCACTTCAAAAGTCTGATAGTAGTAGTAGGTTGTTATCCTCTGTGGATCAGCACTGGAGGGGGATAAGACACACACTTTTACAATATATTTCACAAATATCTGCTAACAGGAGAAGAACGGTGAGACTCAGGAAACGCGGGTTCCATTCTGGGCTCTGGAGGAGAGAGTGTAAGTCCTTCTGCCCAATCCCTTCCAGCCCATCCTTGTCCCCAGTCCTGTCTCTACCACACCCATGGATCATCATCCATGCCCCATTCTCCTTACCTACCCATTTCCAGTCAGCACCCCTCCACATGGGTGTGGTGAGTTGTATGGGCTCAGAAGTGCCCATGTGCCACCAATAACAGGGTCCCGGGGGCTGGCTCCACAAATGTTGAGGGCCGGGTCTCTCCCCTTGCCTTGCCCCCTGCCACTGCACGCTCCCCTGGAGTATCCCCCAGCCCATTCCAGTGTCTACCTCAGTTCCAAGCTTTCCTTGCCCTACCCTCAACTCCCCACTCTCCTGTATCCCTCCCAGTGCCAGCCAGCCTCTATGCCCCTTGTCCCAATTTATTCTCCTCTTCCAGGTCTGGTTCTTGGAAGCCTTGTCTACACTTACCAGCACCATTGATCTATTTCTGCTATGCAAGTAGCAAAACTTAAGTCAACATACTCACCATGGCACACTGCATGCAATAAGGTCGGTGGGGGTTGCTCTCCCGTTGACGCTGGCTACTCTTCTCATCTTGGTGGAGAACCAGCGTCACCGGGGGCATGCCCAGAGATTGATTTATTGCATCTACAGCAGACATGATAAATCGATGACTAGTGTATCAATCGCTGCAGCTTTGATCCCCTGCATAGTGTGGAGAAGGCCTCACTCCATTTGACTCACACAGCTTTCTCTTCCATGCTGCTTCAGCCCAGCAGGGGGCATTGACTCTCCTGGGCTCTCAAGCATCCTACTTTGAGGGCTGGTGCCTGGATCTGGACCTGGCAGAGCGCATAGCAGCCCAAAGCTGCAGCCGCAGAGACAGGCCTGCTCAACCCAAAGTGGACCCTGCTCAGTCGGAATGGAATCTGAATGATTAAATTAGAGTCTCTATGGAGCATGGGTGAACTCGGATTTGTCAAAGGCGTAGAAACTGGCCAAATGTAGGTGGATTTTCACAGGGATAGCCAAAGGCACATCCCTGACACAAAGGCCAAGCCCCTGTTATGTTTCAAGTCCTTACTC